AGCCCTTTTTGAAGTGCACTATCCAGCACTCGAGGGAGGAGAGGCGGGGGGAGAGCATGCATAAGTCGCCCAAACACAACCGCAGACGGGAACGTCACACCGTTGAGACTGAGCTTGTTCACCGACCCAAATGTAAGAGTGACATGGAGGAATATTTGGGCGTGTAGTTGCCCACTCTCCCATTTGCAACGCCAGAGATAGAGAAACTTGACTCGGGGCAGCTTCTGCATCATGCGCACAGCAAACGACCCAAAGTTGCCAATTGACTGTTCTAGATCGAACGAGACTGTTTTGATGGCACCACATCGGCCGGTGTGCTCGAGCAGTGTATTTATCAGGCGACACACCTGCTTCTTATCCATGCGCCCCATGTCAAGTCTTTCATAACTGCGAAAGCGACATCGGGCATACCACCCACGACACACCTGGCCCAGTTGTGGCGTGTAGCGGTGGCTCCCGTCATCCGCAATGAGATCAATGATGTGCTCCCATAACTCTGTTGGAAGTTGGCTCGAAACCATGGGGCAAATGTCGCATAGTTGGCTATCCGTCCGCTCGGCGATGGATACGTCCCAGCACGACGCTCGCACGTTGCTGTCTATCCTGCATTCAACAAACCTACGCGCAGCAGAGGGGGGGTACTCACCTCCCTCAACTGTAGTAACGTTCTTCAACTCGTCTCTGTCTGCCGTAGAACGGAAATCTTGTGGGATACACGCTAGAAGGACGTCCATAGGGGGAGTTGCCATGTGCAGTAGTAGGTGGGTGGGTAAGATACACAATCTGACGTCCTCGACATACATCCAGCTATTATAGCTATGCACATAGGCTGTGAGCATCAGCTATGTGGTTCAACACCATGCGTTCAGAAGGGCTTCCTATCAAACCTTACCGCATTGAACCTAATAGCACATGATTGAAAGTGTATCTGAGGCTAGACGGGCCGTAAGTAAAACCAAAGCCATCATGGTACAGTCCCGCTGCGATGAAGCATTGTCTCAACTATACAGAGCTCGAGGACGAGAGGCGGAGATCTATGCAGTTCGCGGTCGACTGTGATCAACGATGGTACGTACGTAGCACATTCCTTAGCACACATCGGGCTGTATGTGTCTAGTCTCATACATATCGAGCATGGCCTCACGCTTACACTTGAACCGCGTCGCGAACATATTCATCGTCCGGTGCAACTTCTGCCGACAGTTCACTTGATCAAACCACAACTTGAATGGGTAATTATGAGGTTTGTATGTAACGTATAACCACAGGAGCATAGAATACATACCTCTCCGTGTAAATGCCTCGCGAGCCTGCAGAGAAACATGAAATCCTGTGACACTTGAGCTTTGCACACCTACATATGCTTGTCACGTCGGAAAGCAAGTATGTATCTTCTCTACGGTGAGCTGACTGCTAGGCGTTGCAAAAACACGGAAGCTTGAAGCGATATTGTTCAGCGCTCTCGACGGCCTGGTACGCCTGAATAAGTAGTCCCTGAAGAATGTGGCGAACAGCAGATCTGTTCTTTCCGTGAACGTCGGAGAAGACTTGAAATGTATCATTCAAGTTCATGCAGGGTTCACATCAATGTTCAGCGGGCCACGCTCCCTCACCATGTCTTTTACTGCAACATTGACTCGCGGATTGCTGCAGTGATAGTAGACAGGTGTTCATCCCCCTCACCGACACCAGCGACAGTGTCGACCATACGCGTTACGATCACTCCCAAGACCAAGACACAAGATTGGTGATTCAAAGGCTCACTGAGCGAAACCATGAGTCAAGCATCGAGATTATCCCAGGTCTTGGGAGGTGGGTCGTCGGTTGGAGCTCCACTTCATGCGATTGATTCGACGTCCGCCGACCTGCGCGTGTGTCCGCTGAGAGTGCTTACTGCGAACACTGGTGCCAGTGAAGAGTGTGCATCGGGGAAACTGGGCTTTGCAAAGAAACCACCATTTGTGAAGGAAGACACCCCGTGCGCCACGACCAGAAAGGACCAGACTGTCTTGATGGCACTGCATCGGTCGGGGTGCTCGACCAGTGTATTGATCAGTCGATACATCTTCTTCTTGTCCATCCGCCACATGCGCAGTCTCTCATAGCTACGAAAGCGATATCGGTCGTACCACCCACGACACACTGGGCTAAGTGTTTGCGTGTAGCTGCCGTCGCAGTCATCTTCATCCGCGATGAAATCAATGATCTGTTCCCATAACTCTGTCGGAAGTTGGCTCAAAATTATAGGGCAGATGTCGACGAGTTGCATACACGCCCGCTCGGCAATAGAAGCATCTCAGCACGACCGTCGCACATTGATGCCTATCCTGCATTCAACAAATCTACACATAGGAGAGAGGGGCCATTCACCTGCTCCAACTGTAGCAACGTCCTCCAACTCGTCTCTGTCTGCGACGAAATGGATATCTTCTGGGCTACACACTAGAGCGACGTCCATAGGGAGAGTTGCCTTGTGCAGTGGTGGGCGGGTGGGTAGGACACAGTCTGACCCCCTCGACTTGGAATAGATATTATAGCTGTCCCTAAACGCTGTGAGCGTCAGCTATGTGGTTCAACCCTATGCGCTCAGAAGGCCTTCTTATCGTATTGAAGAACCTAATAGCACATGACAGTAAGTGCATCCGAGCATGCACAGCGTGCTGTGCAAGACTAGCTCGTACGCCACAGTCCTGCTGTCATTACGCATTGTCCGAACATAGAGAACTCGAGCACGATCTATCCAGCTCGCGATCGACCACGACCCACGATGGTACGTACTTACGTAGCACATCCCTCAGCACGCATCCGGCTGTATGCGTCTATTCTCATACGTATCAAGCACGGCCTGGTGCCGGCTGTTCCACCTCAGGCGCGAACGTATGCATCGTCCGGTGCCAATCCTGCCAGCACTTGACTGAATCAAACTACAGCTTGAAGGGGCGATTACGGCGTCTGTATGTGACGTGTGGGCACAGGAGCATGGAATACATACCTCTCCACGTAAATCCTGCGGAGAAACATGGAGCCAATCAGCAGCTGCCGATCACCCATGTCTAGTCGGACGCTCATAATATTTAAGCTCCGAACACAATGAAAACCCGCTGTCTCCTGGGAGCTGTGTTCGACACATGTTTGCTACTCGACTTTTGGATATTACCCGCGGTGAAGTGCAGGAAGACCTGTGGACGCAACTTCCCAGAGACTCACCAGGGTTCTCGACTAGGGCAGTGCGCTATGCGCTCAGGAAGTGACCCAAGGGCATCAACATTCCCGGGCGACAAGTCCAGCTTTCAGGCGGCACTGTTGCTGCACCAGGCTACCAGCTAGGCGATATACAACAGGCTTTTGTATTTTCGAGAGGACGACTCGAAGTTCCTTTGCACGCATGGTCAATGGAAAATTGGACGGAGAGCGGAAGAACGCAGTGACTCCAACTTCGACCCGGGCGAGGAAGGCGTCGGGCCCATGTCCTTCAAGTTCGCGCCTCGCCCGTCATCGTAATACTCTTTCCTCGTACAAAGTCGACTTGCAATTCCACGCCTGTTTTCATCCTCTCCATATGAGGCTTTCGCTTTCTCCATGTAGCATAATATCCTCGGCTCCATTCCACTGGAACTAGTGGGTGCACCTTGGGTCAATCCACATTCCTCAGCAAACGCGTGCAAGCTCTCTGACGATTTTGCACCCCGCTTATCGAATAGAATGGTCATCACATGCAAGGTGCACAGGTGCATTGAGGTGGCCGACCGGGATACTCAGAAATAGCGTGCAGCCCTCGCGTATGTGAGAGGTGAGGGCAAATCACAGGGGGGTGCACGTACCTGATGGAGGAATCTTGAAATCTCGGTGTGTAGTCTCTTGTTTGAATACTGGCCAATGGTGGCAGGCGTGGAAAGTGCAACGCTCGACCGTCACGGCGAAGGTCATATTCAACGCGGCACAACGATGCAGGACAAACTCCATGCTCGCCAGCCTCACCCCGCATACCTACCCCCGACGCTATCTCAACATGTCCTTTTCGAACTGCGCGAGATTTGTTGTATTACGAAGTAATTCCTAGTCCTATGGTATCGTATAAGGGGGCTGCGTCTGTGCTGATACTTACCAGGAAGACGTGCATGTATGGAGATAGGGGCAGAAGAACTTTTCGTATACATTTGGTGTACATTCCACCATCCATATTGACTGCCAGTCTCTTCCAGTGCAAAGTCTTCCATTACCCTCGCCCAATTCCTCGTCCCACAATGTGTATGTGTCCTTGCCTGCTGGCTGCCTTGCGCTCTGAAAGCCCCCATTCTCCAGACATCGACTTGGTATGAATGTACAAGTACACCACGCACGCCGTCCGCTCGGCGCGTGCGCGTCTGACGCAATGTGCAGCGAAGCGCACAGCAAGGAAAGATCCTAGCGCAAGTAGGCAGTCCCAGTCGCAACATGTGGCTATTCAGATAATAGTACCCCGTCGAAGCGTTTGGTTCACGACGCAGCGGAATTTCATCGATTAACTCGTGGCCCACACTCGAGCTGGTCATCAACCAAGAAATGAGTGTGTTGTCTGCGCCTTCTGAGCCGATTCAATAGAAAGTGCAACCCCCAGAACCTTTCTGCGGAAGCCTTCATTTCTAAGACGGTAAGTACGGCTTATTTGCTCTTCTCGTTCTCGTCGATCTGATTCTAATGTCTGTACACACCTAGTATGACTGAGACCATTGTGCTCAGAGGTGGGTGGTATGGATATCTGTCCCGCGAGCGTGCCTTATTAATTCGTTTCATTGGTTCTCCAGGATTTGGTGGGGTGTCGTTTTCTTCCTTCTATGCAAGTACACTAGCAAGTCCTAACGTGTGTTGCTCCGGACGACAGAGATCCGCGAGGCGCTGTAGAAGCCTGTGTGTGTGGCACGTTGCGTGTATCAGAAAACACGCCCTATCGGCCACGCGCCCATGGGCATGCGTGCGGTGTATATTGTGTTATCTCTTCTGCTTCGCTGCGGAGTTAGAGTGTTGGAAATGAATGCATGAATGGCCGGGCACGCGTCTTCTCTTCGGACACTGCTCTGCGCGAATGTTGTGGCAGTCCGCACAGCAAAGAAATGTCCGTTTCCCCAGCAAGGAAAGACCTATTGTGCGAGGGAAGAAAGGCTAACTCAATTCAGCTCTCGCCTCTCCCATCCCTTTCCATAGCAAGCAAATTACAATTTGCTTGCTATGCCAACCATGATTCAATATCTAACCGTGCGCGCGCTTGTATGTGCTTCCAGGTTGTGATATTAGGTTCAATACGATAAACAGCTCTTCTCCAGACATCGGGGCTGTATGACCTGACAGCGAACGACTTATAGGCCGAGGAGTGGGCATCTGAGGTCCTCTCTTGCGCCCACCATATGCAAATGACGACTCCGCCTGCGACCTTACCTCTTCACCTCGATACACAATATGGCGAATCAGTACCTAGGCCAGAAGTCAATGGAAGGGAGGTACTCTGTGGAAATAAAGACAGGGAGCGCATGCGACACTTACAACATGCGGTATCGTTGAACATTGTAGGGGTAGACGACAAAGCTGAATCTTTAGGGTCTATGCCGAACACTGCCCCATTGGATGCTGATGTGTCGCTTGGGCATTCGATTCAGCTTCCAGTTGAATTGTGGGAGAAGGTGATTGACTATCTGGCGGATGGATGTCGGGGTGGCAATGGGAGCTGCAAGACATATGAAGCCAGGCTGCAAGTACTAGGAAGGGTGTGTCGGGGGTGGCATGCCCGATGCCACTTTCGTGTCCTAGAGAGGATGGATGTGTGGAAGATGGACAAGACAGAGGTCTATAGCCTGATCAGCTCACTGAAGCAGGACCCTGAGCGCTGCCATGCCATTACTAAGACAGTCTTATTCCATTTTCAGAGGGAGTCGATGAGCATCTTTGGGACGTTTGCTGTGTGCATGGCACAGAAACTGCCCCGAGTCAAGTGTCTCGTACTGTTGGGGTGCCAGTGGGACACTGGACAGTTGCATGCGCAGGTCTTTGTCCACATCACTCTCGCATTCGAGTCGGTCACTGTGCTCGAGCTCCAGGCGGTGCGATTCCCTTCTGCGGTAGTGTTTGGGTGGCTCGTGCGTGCGCTTCCGCGGCTGTCGTCCCTCAAATGCTGGAGCGTGTTCTTCGAGAGGCATGGCTATGTTGCGGGCCGAATCTGGGAATTGCATCCCCTCCGACTTGACGGCGCCGAAGTGCGGCACAGCGACGACGTCGTTGACTTCCTCGTCTTGATCGGCACACAACTACGCCACCTCGTCTGGCGTGATCTGAGCTCGGGAAAGTGCCAGGAGCTTCTCTCTGTGATTGCCGAATCGCTCTCATCCATGCACATAGACCTAGCTGATCCTTTGTCCTTTCGACGTGAGTCGTCGAGGCCATTTGTGGATGCAGTTCGAGGCCGGTTGACGTCTTCTAGAAATGTTTCCCTCAGGTTATCCACATAATCTCACCCCAGCTGTCAACCTGCGCGTCCTTTCGGTCTCTTCCGACTTCGAAGACTTGAATGGAATGGCAATGATTTTGTCTCGCTCTCGCCCGTCCCTTCCGAAGCTGGTCGAGATTACGATCATCTCAATCCCCCATCACACCGAGACATATTCCTCATCAATTATCCAGAACAAGCTCGATGAGGTCAAGACGGATTCGTATGCACTTCTTGACCAGGCTTTCTCTAGTCTTCAGTATCCCGTCTTACAAAAGGTCACCTTCGAGCTTCACTGTGTGACTCGGCGCAGCGAAGTGATGGAGGTGATATCCGAGGAGTCCTGGGAGAGTCACGTTGCATCAAGGCTTCCTGCTCTGCATGCCAGTGGACGACTTGTGTGAGTAAAGATTTGCGTGAACCCCACATTGCTTCCATCTGTACTCACCCTTATGCTAGGTGCTCTGTGTCTGTTTTAGTGCATAATGATTTGGAATAGTTCTCGCAATGTACTTCTGGCTTCCATTCCGCCATCTCCGGAGACTTGTTGCTTTGTCCATCGTCATGGCGCCGTATCTGCGTGATATAACCACGTTCGTGAGAGCTACCCACGTCATGTTTTACCCACTCCATTGCGAGAAGTCGTAATCCGTGGGCTACGTAAGTATTCCTGCTTTTTTCTTTGTGCAGCCCTTGATCACTCCACTCGCCCTCACGCTTCGTGCCGCAGTTCATGCGATCGCCGGGCTCTTCGAACGCGCGGTCTTTGATCTCCCTTGGTGCCTCAACCTGCTCCCTGGCCGCTTCAACACTCAATCTTCGCTCACATTATGATCCCATCCGTGTGCGTGATCGTATGCGGCTTCTGCGTGTTCAGCGCGATACAGTTTGATAGGCAACACGAGTCACCAGCTGTCATGGTCGCGGGACCTGAGGGAGACCGCCGCTCTACCTCTTCCTGATATATGATACGACGAGTTGATGTCCGGACCAGAAGTTGAAGGAGAGGAGATGCATAGTGGGAATAAAGACAGTGAGTGAGCACAACACTTTCAATATGCACTATTGCTGGACTTCATAGGAACGGATAGAAATGCTCAACTCTTACATGCTGATCATGAATGCTCCCTGCCGAAGATTGCTCGACCGGGAGTTGGTGAGTCCCTTGAGAATTCGATCCAACTTCCCATTGAATTATGGGAGAAGGCGATTGTACATGCTTGTATGCGGCTTCAGCATATTGAATGTACAGTCAGCGCGACAAGGTTTGATAAACAGCGTGAGTCGACTAACATAGCTGTAGGGTCGTGGGACCTTAGAGAGGGCATCTTATAAGCGAACTAGAGCAGGCACCTGGGGCAGTGCGTGCCCACCCTTGCCTATCGTCTGCGGATGTCGTCTTCACCTGCTACTGCACCTCACATGCGATCTGATGAATTGGTGCCTGGACCAGAAGTCAGGGGAGACGAGATGCATGATATAAATGGTAAGTGTGTCTCATTTATAACGTGGATTATCATTAGCTAGACTTTGCAGGAACCCCAGGAACTGGTTGCATAGTGCAGCCTCTCGGGTCTGTTTCGCGCGTCCCTTCAGCATTGAATCCAGATTCCAACTCAAGCACGGGAGACTACTGTGACGTTTATTCCCAATTTCTTACACGGAAAGCGCAGATCCCCGGACATTTCCTCACAGGCACTATTGAGCATTCGATCCAGCTTCCCATTGAAATATGGGATAAAGCGATTGATTATGCGGTGGAGGACACGCATAACGGAGCCTGGTTACGAAATTTGGGGTGTGTGTGTCGAGGGTGGTATGCCAGGTGCTGCTTTCACGCCCAAGAGAAGCTGGAGGTGGAGTACACAAACAGAACACAAGTTTATCACCTGGCCAACACGCTCACAGAGCGCCCCGGACGATGCCGTGCCATTAGAGTGGTCTCATTCTATTTCTTCAAGAGGTAGACTGACGGGTTTGGGTTGTTTGCTGTGTGCTTGGCACTGAAGCTTCCCCAGGTCGACACCCTCAGCTTCAGATGTGGGGTCTGGAGGCCTTATCAACTACATCCGCAAGTCTTCATCCATGTGACTGTCGCATTTGGGTCAGTCAAGGTCCTCACGCTTGAAGATATGATGTTCCCTTCGGCGTTAGTGTTTGGGCAGCTTGTGCGTGCACTCCCCCAACTCTCCTCCCTCACGTGCCGGTGGGTGGGCTTCAAGAGCAGCTACGATGTTGTGGGCCGAATCTGGGAGCTGCATCCCCTCCGACTCGACACCGTCCAAGTGTGGGACTACGATGACGTTGTCGACTTCTTCGTATCGCGCGGCGCACGCCTCCGCAGTCTCTCCTGGAGTGGGGCACAGCCGGATATTTTCTCGAAGCTGGTCACTGCGACTGCCGAGTCGCTCGTATCCCTGCACATTGGTCAAGTGCATGTTTCCTCCAAGGATCGTGAGTTACGGGCCGTTTGTTGATGACACAGTACATTGACGCCTTTCAGCTATTCCCTCAGGCTTTTACATTGATCTCACGCCTGCTCACGTCAACCTACATACCCTGTCGATTTCCTCCGACGTCGGAGATTTGGACGGAGCAGCACACATTGTGTCCCGCGTGTCTCTTCCCAGGCTGAGAGGTCAAGATCACGTCAATGCTCTATGACAACACTTCGTCCGAGTCAGTTGTTCAGAGCAAGCTTGATCAAGTCGACAAAGACTTCTATACACTGATCGACCAGGCTCTCTCTGGTCGCCAATATCCCTGCTTACGAAAGGTTACCTTCGATTTGATTTTTCCGATTTTGCGTAGTAATGTGATAGGTGTAATAAACGAAGTCTCTTGGGAGCGTCAACTTTCGACAAGGTTTCCTGCTTTGCATTCCAGTGGGCGACTTGTGTGGGTAAATTTTACATGCACCGTGAATTGTCTCTGAACTCCCCCCATTTTTTTTTCTCCCGATGCTCACTCGTTTTCAAGGTCTTCTGTATCTGCTCGGGTACACGGAGGGTAACAATATTCGCATTTTTCCTTGGTTCCGGTTTCACCCCCGAGATTTGTTGCTGTATCTACCCTCATGGTGTCACTGCTTCGTACTCATCTATAGGACACTGTCAGTCCACGGACACGTTGACGTGTCCTGTTCCATGACTTATCCTTATCCCTCAGCAACCGTTCACATTCTTGCAATCTTACTAAATCATCTACGCGGATATATCTGATGTCATTTGTCAAGGTCACCCGCGGAACAAGCTCGGTAGTGTGGCGCTGAAGCGTCCATGCGGCGCAGCCGTACCGGTTTAAGCAACACACGTACTGTAATGTCGTGCAGACTATATGCCCTGCTCTGAGTATTTGCATATTAGGGACCGTCTAGATTCTTGCCACCGGCAGAAGCCTACTTGCGTATATGGCACTTCACGCGCATGAAAGAGAACGGGTAATCGGATATCCCACCGTCTCTCTCGGTTGACTGCTTAGTTAACGGATGAGTCTGCTATCCGGGCCCTGCGCTGCTTTTGCGAGGATATCGATAATCTTATAATATGATAGTATAGTCCTTCGCAGCCCTGGTCGCTCTAGTTGTGTGCAAGCTTGTATGCGATTCCACCAAACCATGAATTACGTAGTAGGCGCCAGTGCCATAAACTTTTAACATTGAAACTTGAAACTTGAACCATATATTGCGCGATCTTTGCTAATATATCCTCTTCCTCCTCCTCACGACCAGAACCATAGGTCCCGAGAGGACACCTTTCACAGGCTGAACCATCATCGCATCGTGCGCCTTCCTCTTTTTCACCATCTGTGAAATCATCTGTGAAATCATCTGTGACCCTCTTCGGTTTGCTATACAACAAATTGGTTTCCGACTCGGCAGTCGAAGGAGGGGATATGTGTGACGCAAACGGAGATAGTGAGTACGTGCCATTTTTGCCACACGCAGTACCGTTGGACTTAACAGAGTCGGACAGCATAACGCCGTCTTTCGTGTCAATCCCAAATATCGCTCCACGAGTCTCTCGAGCATTCGATCCACCTTCCGCTTGAATTATGGGAGAAGGTTATTGATTATCTGGCGGACGACTGGAGGGATGAGGATATGTACGGAGCCTGGATGCGAGAGCTGGGGAGGGTGTGTCGGGGGTGGCACGTCCGATGCCGCTTTCGTGGCCAGAATCTGCTGGATGTTCACAAGGATATGGACAAGACGCAGACATATCGCCTGATAGACACACTGAACCAGGACCCCGACCGGTGCCGTGCCATAGAGACAATCTCGTTCAGCTTGGTCAAGACGTCGGTTGGCATATTTGGATCGTTTTCTGTGTGTATGGCCATGAAGCTGCCTCGAATCGAGCTGCTCAGACTCCAGTGGTGCGAGTGGGTGGCTGGGCAGCTGCACGCACAGGTGTTCGTCCATATAACTCTCGCGTTCGGGTCTGTGACCATGCTCCATCTCAACTTCGCGACATTCCCTTCTGCTTTGGTATTTGGGCGGCTTGTGCGAGCGCTCCCCTGCCTTTCCTTCCTTAGATGCCATCATGTGAGCTTCGAGAGGCCCTACAATGTAGCAAGCATTGTGCAAGCGCGGCGTCCCGTCCGACTCGACACCATCCATCTGATGGACAGCGATGACGTTGTCGACTTCCTCGTGTCGAGTAGTACACATCTCCGCCATCTCTCCTCCTATGAATTAAACCTGAGTAAGTGCTCGGAGCTGCTCCCTGTGACTACTGAGTCGCTCTCGTCCATGCACATCGAGCTAGAGCGAATTGGTCCCAGAGAAGGTACGTTGCCAATATCATTTGTTGAGCGGTATCGGCTGATGTCTTCTCTGGACGTTGTCCCAGCCTTTCCAATTGATTTCACCCCAGCTGTCAATCTACGTATCTTGTTGCTTACTGCCGAGCTCGAAGACATGGTTAGGGCAGCAAATATCTTGTCTCGCGCGTCTCTTCCCAAACTGACCGAGGTCACAACCACGTTAACGCTCTACGATGCCAGATCGTATTCATCAATTGTTCAGGACGCGCTCGATAAAATCGACAAAGACCAGTATGCACGGATTGACGAGGTTCTCTCCGGTCGTCAATACCCCGCCCTACAAAAGGTTGCTTTCGATCTCGTCTCCTACGTTCCACGCAGCAAAGTAAAGGATGTCATATCCGAAGTCTCCTGGAGGAGTCAGCTTTCGTCATGGTTTCCCGCGCTGCATGCCAGTGGACGGCTCGTGTGAGTAAAATATGTCGTGTACTCCAAATTCCACCTTACCTCTACTGGTACTCACTTGTATCCTAGGTCCTCTGTGTCTGTTCGGGTATATGTGGGGGAATAATGCTCACAATTTCAATACGCCTAGCGCCAACGTGTATGACCCTGTACGACATCTACTTGGTTCCGCGAGGCCCTATAGAAGTAGGAGCCCATGTGTGTGCCCCGGCGCACATATCGGAAAACACATGCAAACATATATAGGCTCGTGGGCGTACTATATGCATTGCATCGTGTCCTCCCAATCCAAAACACGGTTGAAGAGCCATGGTCGGGTCTATGATGTGGGCCTTGCGCTACGCTACATTTGCGAGGATAGTACTGAGGCATGGCTGGACTCGTGCATGCCGTTATGTGCGTACGAACATGCGGTTTCAGCCTGCCGAATTACTTCATTGTGACTAATTGCCGAAGTTTGTTAGCCGAATATCCACCGGAAACTGGCCGCGAAAGATCCCACGGCGGCTGGATTGTACATGCAAGGAATACTGCAAAAGGGCCGGCCAGAGGCTCCCGATGTGCCACGCTTGTTGTCTGAACATGATGTTCAATGTCTGGGCTCCGAAAACTGAGAGAAATTTCGATCTCTCCCAGTCTATGTCCGGTGCATGTTTCGCGTTCGGACACCATGCTTTGCCCATGGTGAGCACGTGTTAGATCACGTGGTGGGTCGTGGCTCCCAAGAGAGAACACTTAAAAGCAGGTTGGGTATTCATATACTTCTCTCCGCTCAGCGACCGCAGATGTCATCTCAACCTGTGACCCCACCCCTTGGTATGCCAGAAGAACCAGTAGTCGAACCCGGAGCGCCGTCCTGGAATGCTCCTATCCCTGAGCGAATGCTTGCCCAACTATTAGACATTTGTCCTGTGGTGTCGCGCTCTCTTCCAATCGAATTATGGGATGAGGTGCTTGGCTATGTGTCGTACGATTGGAGATGCGACCTCCGGACCCGCGGGTCGCGAGAAGCCCGGCTGCAAAAACTTGGGAGGGTGTGTCGGGGATGGTACGCCCGATGCCGCTTTCTTGTCTGGGAGGAGTTAACTATGGCTTCCTATGTCAACAACAAGACGCAGATGGATCGCCTGATCAAAACACTGGACGAGCAGCCCGAGCGGTGTCGTGTAATCAAGGCGGTTTACATCCGTTCGGAATTCCTCTCCGGGGGCCTCCTTGGGCCGTTCGTTGCGTGCATGGCACAGAAACTACCCCGAATACAATCGCTTGAATTCAGACGCTGCAAGTTGGCGGCAGAGCAGCTGGGCGTGCAAGTCTTTCGCGATGTGACTCTTACATTCGGATCGGCCACGGTGCTCAAGCTCTTCCGTGTGGATTTCTCTTCTGCGATGGAGTTCGAGATGCTTGTACGCGCGCTCCCGCGGCTCGTCTCCCTCACCTGCGATGAGGTAGACTTTAAGGATCGTCGCAATGTGGTGGCTACTGTCGGAGCGCTACATCCCCTCCGACTCGAGACTGTTGATCTGTGTGGTTGCGATGATGTGATCGACTTCCTCATGTCGACCGGTGCCCGCATCCGCCAACTTTTCTGCATTAGCGCAAACCTGCCTCGGACGTTCTCGAAGCTGTTTGTGGCGATCGCCGAGTCGCTTTTGTTCCTGGATATGTATGGCATGTATTCCAGGTTCGATGATGGTATGTTGCCAAGGCGGTTCATTTATCACACAGTGCTGGCTGACATATCGTCCCTCAGGACCCCCACTTCTTTCCCCACTTGTCAATCTGCGTACCTTGTCATTCCTTCCCAAAGATATGAGACATGTTGTCCATGTGCTGTCTCTCGTGACTCTTCCTAAGCTGATCGAGGTCACAGTCAGAATAAGGGTACTTGATATTCTACAACTTCCTCGCAAGCTTGATCGTGACTGCTGTACATCAATCGACAACGCACTCTCTGGCTCTCAATATCCAGCCCTGAAAAGGGTTATTTTTCATGTCGTCCTTACCGAGCGGGGCGATCCACAGACAATGTACGAGGACTCCTGCGCGCGTGAAATGTCATGCAAGTTCCCTACACTGCACGGTAGTGGACGGCTTAGGCGAGTACTTTACCGCATATCAACGCCGTGACCTTGCTCTAAATTCCACGTCGTTTCTACTAGGACTCGTTCATATTTCTTTAACTATGTCAGAAGCGAGTACTGAGCATTGCCCCGGCTTCGGATTTTTAATATATACATCCACCATGACAGCATTACTCTCCGCTCATCAATTAGCGGAGGGGTGGGTGGAGGGCCACGAAGAATGGAGTGTGGGCATTGGTGGCACTGATGCATACGAGTACGCGAGAGGTAAGCTCAGCAAGCGTCAGGCCTGTGGGGGCCTGTTTGCTTAGAGAGCGTTAGATGAATGAGCTCAAGTGGCTGCGAAGCCGGAGCTGGGTTGTGTCGGGTGCGCTGCAGAGTGTGTGGAAGCTATCCTTGTCATGGAGAAAGAATTTTGAGGAGCCAACGAATAAAATTTGGAAAGAATAGTCGGAGAAACCGCTTTTCATGAGAGGGAGACATTGGTGGCATCGTGGATATGTCTCAGGCTGGAACTTGGTGGAACTTGAGCCTTGGTGATCTGAGTGCTTTGAGATATGTATGCGATGGGGTTGTCGCATGCAGTCGTTTCCTCACTGCCAGATGTTGATGGGAGCTTTGTGCGAATTTATGCGATGAATTTGAGGCAAGTCATGTTGTCTTGACACTCTGGTTCAGAATATGAGGACGACATGGCGATTCGAATTTTGGACGATGGATGTACTTAAAGTTATCGCACTGTGATTCGCAAACGCGTCGACGCGCGCATCATATGACCGAGAATGATTGAACCGCACGCTAGCCGGTGTGCAGCGGTATCAATTCAATTATTGGGTGCCTATCCTTAGGATTATCAACGTTTCTAACTTCTAATGCGGAGATCAATTCGATGAAACGGCATTGTTATCAACACTATTATAGCCTGGGTGTAGCCGTCTGCGATGCGTTTCACGCTGGAGGAGGATACATATATTAGCAAAGACCGCAAGGTTTGTGCTCGGAGTCACTGAGGCGCCGGAGACGAGTCTGAACTTCCGTCCTCGTTTCACACTTTGTTTTAGTATAATACTCTTTCAGATATACCTGCCATGTAGCTTGATCCCTCACTGTTCGTCCCCTCACATTTACCGCAGAACGTAAGGCAGTATGGCCAGCGCCGCGGCGATCCTCTGCGCCTTGCTCTTGATTGCGTTCGTGCGGGCGGTCGTGCAGAGGAAGACAGATCCCGTGTGTTATCTTCCCTGTTCACCAGCTACTGGAAATCCCTGACTATGAGCTCGCAACACAGATATATCGTATCCCGACCGTAGGCGGGTCGTCGGCCCCTCTCCTCTCATATAGGACTGCCTTCAACTTTCTCCTTCATGCGAAACACCTCATCCAGGAGGGATACAGCAAGGTATGAATCCATGCCCGCATTCAGGGACATGCGCTCATGGGCATCGTTCAGTACCCGATCTTCAAGGTTGCAATGTTCAACCAGTGGATCGTGGTCGTCAGTGGTGCAGAACTGAACGAGGAGTTGCGCAGAATTCCTGACGAGGACATGTCATTCTTTGAGGCTGCCGAGGAGGTGAGGCACTGCACATTTCTATCTGAGAAGTCGTATTGAAATGACTGTCGGATGACCGAAGTTGGTCCAAGCGAAGTATACCATCGCTCCCGAAAGGCACGAGTCTCACCTCACGGCGATTCGAAACCAACTCACGAGGAATATTTCGCTTGTGCTGCCGGATATGATCGACGAGATCACAACTACGCTCAAGGAGCTTGTACCGGCAAAAGGCGACGGCAAGTCTCCTTGGAACAGTTTTTGACAATCTCCACTTATTAATCGATAGAATGGGTCGCTGTTCCGGCCCTCGAATCCGTGAGGAGTATCGTGATGCGTACGACTAACAGAATCTTTGTCGGGCTCCCCCTGTGTGAGTAGGGTGGCGGTGCTCTACGTTATTGACTTTATCGTCTGAGACCGCGTACATCAGGTCGGGATCCCGAATACATCGAGATAGTGACGACCTATTTGGATGGTGTCATGAAGGGCTGTGCAATCCTTTTTCTCTTGCCAGGTTTCTTGAAACCGTAAGTCTTTGTTAGCTTTGAAGAAGGTAGACATACTGAATGACTCATTATTGAAACCGGTATAGGTTCGTCGGGCCTATACTACCTTGGGTAAAGAGATCGATTCGACGCCTGTACCCAGTTTTGGCCCCCACGGTCAAAGAGCGAATAAGACAGCTCGAAGAGCATAAGAAGACGTCGGTAAGCATTTGCGTCATTGCTTCGGGCTACACGTCTTGGTGCTGTGCAACATCTAAGCACGCTGTCAGGAGGACCTGACGATGTGGACGCTCGAAGAAATGGCAGACTTCAAGCAAAGAGATCCGATTGAGATATTAACGCAATGTACCCTGTCATCCAACGCTGTGGCGCTTCATACTACGTCCCTTGTGCGTATATACCAGCGTACGTCTTTCTGGGCTAACATTCTGCGACTTGGCCTAGACAATGGCTCATGCACTGTACGATCTGGCTGCCCATCCCGAGTACATCAAGCCTTTGCGTGAGGAAATTGAATCAGCTATCAAACAGGAAGGCTGGACGAAGGCCGCAATGGGCAAAATGTGGAAGGTCGATAGCTTCTTGAAAGAGTCATCGAGAGTGCATGGAGTTACTGTGTGTGCGTCGTTGCTATTCTCAATGTCTCTCGACTAGCGAATTACTGAGCACCTTATGGCTACTTGTAGTTTCTCTGATGCGCAAGGCGGTAAGGGATCTGACGTTATCTAACGGGACATCCATCCCCGCGGGCTGCTTTGTCACTGCAACGACAACATCTACGCACATGGACGGCGAGCTCTACGACAGACCTGAAGCCTTTGAACCTTTCCGCTTCTCTGATAAGAGAGCACAGGAAAACGAGAAGACTAAAAATCACTTTGTTACCACTTCATCGGGTTTTCTGCTTTTTGGCCATGGCAAACATGCCTGGTGAGTGAGCATTTAGCGGTGTTCGTGTATTGGAAGTAGCATGCGTCATTTCTCATTTTCTGTATGTCAAACAGCCCCGGTCGATTCTTCGCAGCGAGCCAGCTCAAGCTTATATTGATCATTACCGTCCTCTCTTACGATATTAAGTTTGCAGATGGAAAGCGGCCAGAGAATGAACTCATGGCCACCACGATCTTTCCTAGTAGGAGTGCAAAGATGATGTTTAGGCTACGACAGGATGCTCCTGTAGCATTGTAGACTATTCCAAATCTGTCCACTTTACAAGCACTTACTACGTTGACTTGATACTAACTTACTTTATTCTGTCGTGTTCAACTAGTACGTTTGTTTCTTGATCAGTCTCTCTGCCCCCCCTCAACAGACCGATCAGGAGACTGGGGAGCTGCTTGCGCAGGTCTTCCTTCATCTCACATATGGGTCAGCCATTCTACTAAAGCTCTTGGAAATGATGCTCTTTCTGCAGCTGTCTTTGGGTGGCTTGTGTCTTAACCTCCCTCTTATGCAAGGATGTGCGCTTTGAGATGTACCGTGACATGGTAGGCCGAATTTGAGTGCGGCATTCTCGCCGACTCGACACCGTTGAAGTGTTGGACAGCGACGAATCACATCCCACCGCACTTTAATCCGCTGCTTCTGTCGCAATGGCATCGACAATTTATTCGACTAGTAGCACTGTCGGTTCAGGGACATCCATGTCTCATACATATCTCGCCTTTGGCAGTCGTTCAAACTTGCAAAATATTTCATGTTCCCCTCGCCGTCATAGTGTTCTCTATGCTTGCGCTCTGACTGCTTACATTTGTACAGTAAAGAGTGTGCTGATATGTATGTATTCACCCAGCTCTTTTGATGATTGCAATCTATGCAATTCATGGCAAAGTGTGAACGGGTATATGAAACTAACTGAGATTTTGAAGACCGAAACGAAGCCTGTCTGTCTTGTGCGGAGTCCAGAATGCAGAGGATATGCCATCACGCTACAGTAGTATACCGTGAATAGCTGGTGCCGGTCTGCATATGCACGAGGATTCTTCAGGCGTATTACAGAAGTGCCAATCAATTGCTCATTAGGCAAAATGAATCCCACCTCGGATTCGAGAAAATGATCTGCAGAGTGGCAGCGACACCTGGCAGTAAGGTCCAACAGATATCCCTGCATGGAACGATTATCATAGTTGAGCGCTGTGTGCGGTCGCCACTGCAAGGCATGAGTGCACTGTCACGGTTTAAATGACCAGAAAGAAAGCACTCGAAGATACCTCTGACGATCGGCGGAATAGCAAATCATACATATGAACCGCACTACCGAAGACTTCTGCGAAAAACACGACTCTAAGATCAGAGGGAACGCACAGTTCAGAACGCCTGTCCATCCATGACAACTTACTGCTCGCATCCTAGTGCCATACCAGCTGTTCGTCTGCTCTCTGCCCGTTGCGCTTCCTCCAGCACCATCCCTCACGTTCTAGACATCCTCATTCCGGACCTCCAGGAGAAGAGATTGATCTCATAGATAAATTTGAAGATTGAAATTGAATAGGTGAGTCCTGGATTGCAACATTCACTGGTGCATTTCTGATCAGTGACCCCGCACCATGCAGCCTGTCCATGTCAGGGCTGGCATCGCGGGACACACGGAGGGCACTTCCTGTGTAAAATGACCGTGCGAGATCCAGTACACGGCTACGACCGTATGCTCCAGCGTTGAGGCTGAAGACTATGTAGTATGCGGTCATTGGTAGACAAGGACTCGGATGCATCGATGATGGACAAGCGCACCTCAGCCCAGGAAAGGAAATGGCGGCCGTCTGCGCTAACCCGTGTTCGGCCCTTTTGTTTTGTTTTGTTTTTGTTTTGTTTTTGTTTTGCTCCTTTTATTGTCCTCGAGGGCCTGGCTCTATGTAGACAGAAAGGTACGGTACATATACGGGCGTGACATGTTCGGTTTCGAAACGAATACACTGGGCGCGACCTGGGGAGCAGGGTGTGTCGGGGCACGGCTGTAGTACACTGAGTGGCCGAGAAGTTAGTAGTAACATGAACACCAAAAATGAAGAGGTATTACAGTACACTATTGGTGCGGGCGTGGCGAGTCTGCGAACCCGCGTTCAGCTCATGTAAATTGAGGATAAATAGAGAGAGAGAGGACAAGGCGAAAGGGAAAGTAAAATAAAAGAAGCAAGAAAAAGGGGCCCGCCAGTGAAGGGTGGGGCGCGGCCGGTACGGTCAGGTAGCCCTGGGTACAAGGGTTGGTCATTTAATGGATCCGAAGACGTTTCTGAATCGTCCGGTGGCCTGAATGTATTGCATGAGCGGTTTAGTCGCGCCCGGGTTGGACAGCAAGGTACGCATGGAACTCGCCCTCCGTTCGATGCTCCGTTGCAGGGTGATGCGCTGGATTCGGTACATTGGGCATTCGAGTAGGTAATGGCGTACGGTCTCCGGATGGCGACGGCATGTGGGGCATCTGCTTGTGTCAGCCTTCTTCATGCGGCAGAGGTGGCGATGCAGAGGGGCGTGCTCGGTGCGTAGTTGGATCAGGAGGGTGGCCTGGCGTCGAGGTATCGCTGCCACCATTTGGCCGAACTGTTTGGAGGGCACGTCGGGGTCGGTGCGACGTAGCCGTTCAGCGCGGGGAGAGGCCTTCTATTCTGCAGCTGCCTCTGCTACTAGCTTCTCCTTCGCCGTCTGTGGCACCTTTGTCACCGATTTTGGGAGGGGCTTGTGGAGGCATGCCGGGAGACGTCTCATGGGGCTGCCATCCCCCTTCGCTGCTCGCTTCGTATGCTCATCCGCGAGCTCATTTCCTGATATTCCATAGTGACCTAGAACCCAGCGTGTTGTGAGTGAGATACTCAGGTGGCGGCGGTGCAGTGCCTCTACTCTTCGATGAAAGGCATCAAGCAGGTAATGTCCTGGTCGAGGTGCACGTCCCCGTGCTGCGTAAAGGGCATCCGCGTTGTCAGCGCCGCATGATGCTGTCCGCGCAGACAGTGCTTCAATGATGGAGCAGTTCCACCCCCAAGATCATACCTACAATCTCCGCCTCGTACACGGTGTGACTAGTACTTGGGGCTAAGTAGAAGCGGAGTATAGCTACCGGGGCCCAGCTGCCTGCCTTGAACAGTACAGCTGATGCTCCTACCCCTCCATCAACGTCAGACCCATCTGTGTAAACGCACAGTCCCGCCGCACTTGCCGAGTTCGGCCTTTTCGTCTTGCATACTGCAGCATAGTCCCTTCTCTCGGACGCGACTCTTCTCTACACTTGTCCAATGGCACCCGCATCTGTGCTTCTGGTCAATCATATTCTCTTTGTGGAGGACTAGCAAACGGGGTTGATCAATCTTACAACAGGATCGTATTCGTGAACTGAACTCGATCCCCAAAGGGCTCTGCAGCAATTCGATGTTGCGCAACTCCACCACAGCTGCTTGACGGTAGATGTAGTTCAGGTGCTCAATAGATTGAAGACGGATAGGGAAGAGAGGATACGCTGCGCGTCAGAAGGAGCTGGCCAGCGTACTAGGCGTCATGATGCGTGCTCGCGGGGATAGACAAACAAGGGAAGCGTGAAGATGGCAGTAAGCTGCGTACTGTTCCAGCGGTTGAAATGTCTATTTACGTCTTCCCGTTCGACTGACGAGACGCCAGACAACCCACATTACTCGGAGTAGCACTGCTCACTTCTGTCAACCCGTACTCAAAGTACTGCTTGTCCTTCCCTCGCACTCTAGCTCCACATACTTTGGCTTGTTCGTATCCACGACAAATCGTTATAACCTCAGGTCCCACGCTTATCCTAAATGCAACGTCCTTGGGCTATCTGGTAATGCTAGACTTGATCTGTTTTCTGGGGTTGACGACTTATATAGGACCAGGCAGCTGCCCATCCGCCTGCGGGAGGTGGAGGTATTGTATACTACCAAAAGTATTTTATGCTAAGCACTATCCTGTCCTACCCTTCCCGGAGATTGGATGGGCAAGAGGTTGCGTTGGAACATTCAATTTCTTCGATATTTCAGGATGTTCACCGAGATTCAACGGGGACCCTTGGACAACACGTACATCATAACTAAACGCCATGGAGATGGACGTCGCTGTAGGAAATGGCCACAGGTGCCACTGGAGGAGGCATCTTGTTAGTACGTGACATAAGGGGTGACTGGCCTAGCTCAGAAGAGATTCGACCCCTTGTTCCCGAGCGTCCTGTGCTAAGGAGTGTCAGGATAGCACTCCAAGATTTGCATGTACAGTGGTACAGCACTGGAAGCGGTAGTATTGCAGCGTAGAACGCTGTCACTGGTTTTCGGGCACAGAAACATGAACAATATGAGTCGCTAGTTGGGGAGTCTCCTTTTTGTTCGGAGGCTCAACAATAGCATCACAATCAACACTGTCAATCTGTATTGGAGCGAGAACGGTTGCTCCGTTAGCTGTTGATCCTAGCTCTGTGATAGCACCATACTTGCCGCGGAGAAGTGCGCCTGCCTTGAGTCGAATGTCTGGGGGCGTCTAGGGGCATTCATTGATATTCGCAAGGTGACAGAGCAGCCGGTTTTCACGGTGTATGATGAGTGTCCTGGTTGCTTCGGGGAAGTGGCGACAGTAATATTTCCAGCGGTTTGATTTGTCCTCGCATTTACTGACTTTGATAAAGTGAGCAGCAAGAAATGTTGGGAGACTCATGATGGACTGTAGTAGATAGAGCAATCCAGTGCTGAACTACAAACGATATGTTCATTAAGCCACAACTCGGGCTCAGCAGTGGCCACTTTGGCCGTCGTCGATGCTCTCCACCTAATTCATCTGCCACCCCCTGCCACTGACCAGTGCGCTGCCAGCTGGCACTTGCCGTACCAGCAGGTGGCAGGGCAGCCTGGCAGCGATCTGCCAATAACGCTGTTGGGGACGCAGAGAGCTAGCGCCGCAAAAGTTGTAAGACGGCCAAGAAAGGAAATGGAGGCCAAGCACGCATCGCGGTTTCAAAATTTTCTTCCTTACTACCATTAACCACACTTCGTCTGAGATCTGAACCCCTAGTCTCTTCCTCTGTAAACACTATCCTCACGCCCGACTCTTCCATTAATAGTCCTTTTTACGCCTTGTCTCACCATGTTCCTTGCTACCAACACACGCAGGTTGTCCGTATGTGGCATTCATTTAGGCTCGATTCGTGGTATTTATTCGTAAATCAAATTGAATACGCCCCATCCCGGATCTTGGCGGCGAACAGGCCCCGACATATCCTCCTAGAGCTCAGAATCAAAATCATTGGTGTCCGCGCGACTTAACTCAGACTAGCTCAAATGAATGCAACTTTGTTCGTGCCAAAGGGATGATCCTGAAGTCAGAACAACGGAGGGCCCCAAACTGGGTTAAGAGCGGCCACAATCTCGTGATCTGACGCATTGCCAGTGTCGTGTAAACTAACCACTCGCCATAATAAGGTATCAGAGCTTGAGTCTGACTGTCAAGCTGTGTGTAGAGTCTACTCCACCTCAGCATGACAAGTATTCCCCGAGATTATACTCTGATTGAAACCAGCTTGTATCGTATTGTGAACTTACTTGACAGCCCGGAATTTGTACTCAGGTTGCATTGAGTGCATTACTACGGGACAAGCTTGACTTGTCAATTTGTGGTCCACGCTCTTGGTCAGGTTTTGCCGATGCCAATGCAGTGTACTTGATCTTATACCAATATTCGAGCTGTATGTACGTATCCCATGCTCCTGATGAGTGGACTGAGCGACCTCGTCATCATATCCTCCCCACACCCTGTGTCCACTCACACATCTGTCCTATAGGCTCGGTACTTAACATTGTGGCGCATGGTGCATCTGTTGACCGCGCATGTTGCTACCTTTAGCAGCGGAATCAGGTCGCTTTGTCAGTATACTCCAACTATAGCTGTAGTCTATCTTGAATGATGCAGCAGCGGGAAGGTGGGGTTAAGTCGACGTATATCTCCCTTCCATTACTCACGCCCAGGCATGCGTTTGATGTGATACTGCGTAGCGCTTTCCCCAACCAGGCTGTCTTCTCGCCCATGTCCACAAATCCGGTGATTAGCCTGAGTCCAATCCATAACTCGACAAGCACCCTGCCGTGGTGCCCTCATTCTAGTCAAAGCCGATTCTCGCGCGATGTTCATGTTGAGAGTGCAACCAGTGGCCTGTTTAGGTAAGCTTGTACATCGTCCGCCTCGGGATGGTTCTCCGTGCTGCGTATGCTGTTGAGATGGTAGCATATGCAGTCCGGAGTTAACTTGACACGTCTATCTCTGGGTGTACTCTCACAACGAAAACACTTCTCTATGAAGCTTGATTAACGTCTTTCTGATCAGGTGCGCAATACCAGATAGATGACACGATATAAAGCGCGAGGGACTAAGGGTGGAGGTAGCGGTCATCGGTCTGGCCAACATTTGCTCCACCTTCTAATTTTCTTTTATAAATACTAGCCACGACCTCAGCGACGCTATCGGCCATTTCGTTACTCGTCATCAGGGATGCTCCCCATAACGGCACTTGTCCTTATCTCATCGCTGTCTGCGTTACACCTTGTCAGCGCTGGTTCTAGCAATGTTTTATCGATTTGCTCGCAGATTGCAGGCAATATATCCTCCGCATCCAACGTCTACTACCCTTGTAAGTGTTGATTCTGACATTCTCTTGAAGCACCAGTAACAGAAAGAATGCCAAACAGTAGATCCAAATTATGGGTCAGACATATATCATTATGCTACTTCTAGCATGCAAACTTCCGCTTGCTCTGTGGAGCCAGGGAATCCGCAAGATGTTGGCGTGATCGTGCGTACATTGGCTTAGTCTTAATCAACGATCATTAACGATACTTTGTAGCTCCATATACTCGGAGCTTCTGGAACACCGTTTGCTGTAAGATCCGCAAAGATGATGATACGAAAATTATACTGACGTTCGCTGTACAGGTGAAAGGGGGCGGGCACATCATGAATCCTGGATACTCTTCCACCACGGGGGTACAGATTGCGATGACACGATTCAACAATGTAGATTATGATGCTTCGACTGAGACAGTCGCTATTGGGGCAGGCATGGTTTGGGACGACGTTTACGCTGCTCTAGAGGTATTTGGCGCCAATGTCGTTGGAGGTCGCGTTTCTGGCATTGGCGTTGCGGGTTTCACCCTCGGTGGAGGTGGGATTACTGTCTTTCACGTATTCAGAAAACGCTAAGATAGGCTCAGGTTATTCATGGCTGACCAATCAGTATGGTTTGACCATCGACAATGTCCAAGCATATCAGCTGGTCTTGCCTAATGGGACGGTGGTGAATGTTACAGAGAATTCCAATCCCGATCTCTTCTTTGGTCTGAAAGTGAGTCATGGATGAATTCGTAAATTGTGCTGAAGCTGAAGCCGAGACTACGTAGGGAGGCTACAATAACTTTGTGAGTGTAATGCCAAGTTATGAACCAAAAATACAGCACCTACTATATTGAAAGGGAATCGTGACAAGTTTCACACTCAAAACGTTCTCGCAGGGGCAAGTATGGGTAGGCCAATGTCACGCTCTTAGTCTTTAAACGGTTCTCAAAGTTGCGTAATTAGGGCGGGCAGATCACGATTGCGAGTCAGTACGTAGACCAAGTCAACACCGCTACCGCCAACTTCGCCATGAATGTTACTGATCCAAAGGCGGCGCTCATCACCACAATTGACTTCACAGACGGACAGGTTTGCAACCCTACACATCTTATTGTTTCAAAGAGGATTTACATCGTCATTGCCAGATTGTAGCGTCTGTAATGATGTTCTACGATGCGCCTACACCTCCATCAGGCATCTTCGACGACTTCTTGGCCATCTCCTACATTCAAAAGAATGTCTCCACTCGGAGTTACTTATCCCTTGTACAAGTTGAGGCAACTGAGATGAGCGCCAATAAACGGTAATCCAATTCAACGCAAGTGTAAGAAATCGGTCATGAACTGATTCATTTCAACAGTGGATTCTACAACACGGTACCCTTAATGGACATTACCCCTTCTGTTATGCAGGCAGTGTTAAATCAAGCTGAGGTAAGTGACTTGAATAAAATTGACTATTTAGGTGCTAAAAATAAACTATAGTATTGGGGTGCCGAAATGCTCCTCACCGGTGAGGCGATCATTAGCTATGACGTTGAACCCTTCCTACCGACCATCCTCGCCCATGGAGCTTCGTCGGCATATCCACCCGACCGGTCACAACGTTACTTGCCATTGAACATCTACTTCAGTTGGACTGGGTCATCCAATGATGAGGCGTTCTACAATGCAATCCTGGAGACCGCCGCGAATCTGACGAACTCAGCGATGATCGAAGGTCAAGCAGAGATCGCCACGGCGCCTCGTTACCCAAATTATGCAATTTATGGCACCGATATGGTAGACATATACGGGGATTCAATAGATGCGCTGGTAACGCTGAAGGAAACATACGATCCTCAGAACGTAATGGGCCTGGCTGGTGGATGGAAAGTCTGATCCCCGTGCCCTGTGACCTTTTCACTGGGGGTTGCATGACAACGGACTGTTATAATTAGAATCTGAGCATAACGAGATGACTCTCAAGCTCAGTTAGATACCGTGCTTCCCTCTGCGTAGATCGTAATCATTGGTGTACTCAATCATCATATTCAGGAATTGAACTGGGCCCTGAGAGCTAGAAATCTCGAGAGCCCCATCTATCGAAGCATGCGCTCTGGTTCGGTCGCTCTACTATGGTACATGAGGATTGGATCGCAGACCGCATTGGGTGATATATTCATTCAAAAGCTACTGACAGGCATGATATAAAGCTGCAGCAAACAAAAAGATTATCAGCATGCGGGAATATGAGCAGAGTACATACGTCCTTCAACCTTCGTTCTTGGAGGCTTCGGATGTCCGTATCTGACACTTCGGAGAAGTAAAGAGTGCGCGGGGAGAAATACGAACATATTGAGTACTCGATCCAAAATTCAAGACAAACCCGGTAGAGGAGCACATTAGCAGAGACTGGTAGGGACGACAACAAGGGTGATAGCGACGCGTCGGCCAGGCAGCCAAGAAAGAAAATGGCGGGGCGTTGTCCACTCCACGCCCTTCTAGATCTCTCATACAGGTTCTTCTAGCACCTGTGATATCTGCGCAGCCTCTTTGCTCATTTGTGTCCTCTGCTACGCTGTTCTTTGGGCGATGGCTTTGTACTATGTGACTCTGGTCCCACATCCTGTCGTGCGCGTGCATGTACGCGCTTTCAGCGCGTTGAATAAGTCGATTGTGAGACAATCCGATGCATACTCGTATCTCAGCCTGTAGAGTTGGACGTTTGGACGTCACTATTGGGACCGTGTGACGCCGGTCGAGACTATCATATATACCGAGAGATGGTTATCAAAAAGTGCCGTGGTTCTCTCGCACAGCATCTGCGGATGTCGTCCCCATCTACGATACCACCTCTTCCTGGTATGCAAAACAAAAAACCGCTTGGACCAAACAGGGAAGCAGTGGAGATGACCAGTGCGGATAGAGACAGTGAGTCTGTGTCATATCCACAACGTGCATTATCATTGGAGTTCGCAGGAGCAGATAGCAAAGCCTCATACTTCGAGTCTAACCCGAAGATTGTTCTACCGGATTCTGATGCGCACCTCGAAGACTCAATCCAGCTTCCGATTGAGTTATGGGAGAGAGTAATTGATCTTGTGGCGGAAGACCAGAAGGACAACTGGGAGGACAACCATTGTCAAGCTGGTGCATACGCAGCCCGGCTGCGAGAACTGGGGACGGTGTGTCGTGGCTGGTATGCCCGATGCCGCTTTCGCGCCCTGGAGAAGCTGGATGTGAGCGACATGGACAAAAAGCAGGTGTATCGCCTCATCAATACTCTGAAAGAGCATTCCGGGAAATGCCGTATCATCCAGACAATCTCATTCGATTTGTTCAAGAAGCCGATTGGAAACTTTGGATCGTTTGCTGTGTGTATGGCACAGAGACTGCCTCAAGTCAAGCTGCTCAGACTCCTGGAGTGCGAATGGATCGTTGAGCAGCTGCACACGCAAGTATTCCTTCATGTGACTCTCGCATTTGGATCTATCACTGCGCTCGAGCTATTCTCGATGACCTTCCCTTCTGCGGCTGTGTTCGGGCGGCTTATCCGTGCACTCCCCCACCTCTCCTCCCTCGTATGTAGGGGAATACGTTTTGAAAAGCGTCGCGATGTTGTGGGTCCTTTCCGAGTCCTGCATCCCTTGAGACTCGACACCGTCGATCTGTCTTACAGTGCTGATGTTATCGACTTCCTCGCGTCGATCGGTGCACACATCCGCCATCTCTCCAGCCACGATAGACACCTGAAGAAGTGGTCGGCGCTGTTCCCTGCCAATTCTAAGTCGCTCTTGTCTCTGGACATCTCGCTAGCGCGCTATGATGCTTTCTCTGATGATGGTACGTGACGAATGCTGTTTGTTGATCATACAGTACCACGTTAGTTGACGTCCTTCGACTCTTCCTTCAGACTTTCCAATTGATCTCACATCAGTTGTCAATTTACGTGCTCTATCATTTGATATCCACCTCGAAGACCTACCTAGAGCAGCGAATATCTTGTCTCGTGTGTCTTTTTCCAAACCAGTCGAAGTCATGATTACATCATGGATAGAATTTTCCGAGACGACCCACGTTGAGGACGTGCTTAATAAAATTGACAATGATTGCTACGTACTAATTGACCGGACCCTCTCCGGCCGCCAACATTCCTTTGTTCAGAAAGTCATCTTTCTCTTACGATGTTATGTGACATCTTCTAGTGCAGTGATGGCTGTCATATCACAGGATTCCTGGCGGATGCACCTCTCGTCGAGGCTTCCAGAGCTGCATACTAGTGGACAGCTTCTGTGAGTGGATTCGCACATCGTCGATTAGTTCGGCATTCGCATTGTGCACCACTAAACTCACTTCATGTCCTAGGTCTCCTGTGTCTACCGTTGTCAGGACGTTACAAATGTAGACGTCAATGGCTGAATTATGCTTATATCCTGCGAGCTATATATCCTGGTACTTGTCGCTTCCCCACGACAGCCGACGTCTTTTTTGCTACTACCTACCCCAATATCCTAACTCGAGCGTGATACAAGTTCCGCAATCTTCAATCTCCGCCTGGATCTATCGCATGTTCAAAAAGTAAAGACTCTCATTACGTGTACTTATATTCGTTGTGAACAAAGCAATTCATACCTGGCAGACTTTACATCGCCTGTGAGGGTACAGTTCACTGTCTTGTCGATTATTTTGCGATTCGCCGCCTTCGGTTTGGTGTCTCCAAGTAATTGTAACCTTTTTACCTCATGAAGCCGATCAGCGAACATCTTGTCGTGCTCATGACGTAGACGTATATCAAGTTGAGGGTTGTAGTACTCGCGATAGGCATCGTCTAGGAACTATTAACCTCATTTATTTAGTCATTCATATACTCAGTCGGGCTAGTTTATTCCCTCATCATCTACTTATCTATTCGCTCGTTTTCCTTTGCCGACTTCGGCATCGATGGTCTACCTCGCTCGATCGCCTGATCGACCTTGATGGAAATGTTCGCTATGATGTATTATGCGATATTCCTCGCAACGCATCAATAATCTTCTCGATGACTTGTTGTATGTCAGCGCAGATCGTTTCTAGCGCTGCACACGAACAGATCGACCGGATATTGATGAATGTATGCTTAACGTGTTTTGGGCACCATCGCGCAGTGATACTTACAGGGTATCTGCGCTTCGATTATGCGGTTCTAGCTCAATGTGAACGGCTAGCGCGCAAAACAAGAATCTCGGAACGATGACGAGAGAACCCTACCATCAGTAGGCATCGCATGATTCGTGGGCGAGGCCACCTATCTTGCAAGTACGCCCTGTCTCTCCACAATCACGAAGCAGTCACCTATCTTGCAAGTACGCCCTGTTTCTCCATAGTCAAATGATGGGGTACTCTCTACCTCTGTGACTCAGAGCACTGGCGCAAAGATAGACGCTAGCATCCTAAAACCCAGACACTGGGGAAGTCGGGCGCTAACCTGCATCGCCCAAGGCGACATCTAGCCCCTCGAGGCGCTGTAGAAGTAGAAGTCTACGTGTGTGAAACTCCACCAGACCATCAGATACGTGCTCACGCGCATGCTGTAGACGGCCGAGGATGGGTCTGCTATTCGAGCCCTCTTTTGCATTGCTCTTGCTGTGACGCAACCATGGTTCTACGTTCTACCATGTGCGTGCCTGCATGCTATTGTAGTGCGTCGAATAAAGTATTGTCGGGGTCGTTTGACCCGAGAGATCTTCTTGTTGGCCAAAGAGTGGGCATCAGAGGCATCGTGCATTTCTCTCGCCCACCGCGTCTGTGGCTGTCGTTCTCCCTGCGACCCAAACTCTTCCCCGTATACAACACGACAAGGTCTGATGCTCTGACATTAGGTTAACTCCAATAATCATAGCACACTACTCCGGGTTCTCTGTTCCTGTTATTAAAGCCATGGACAAATGTAGATGCTTCGGTTTGGGGCCTATGCATCCGTTTCTTAATCACTGCTCGCTGCAGCATAGCTACTATACGGGCCTGTCTCATTGACCGCATTCAATTTGCTCGCAGGTGCTATCTCACTTTTTTCGCGTTGGTAGCCTGTAAAATCCCTCTTGCGCGTGTCAGCATGTTGGGGAATATTCGCTGACGTTCGTCTTACCGTAGTTCATGAAAGTAGTGGCTGTCGTCGTCACTCGTTCGCCACGCTGACTGATACGAAAGATCTACGGAATAACAGACGTGAAGTTGAGCAAAGGTTATCGTCACTCACTGAAGTCGTCCACTAGCATGCAGTGTCGGAAGTTTTGACGAGATACATGCGTGCCAAGCGCACTCAGAGACCACGTTCACCACATTACTACGGGATTCAACGCGACATCGGAGGTGAAATTCCATTCGCTGGAACGCACGATGCTGACGCCCCGAGAGAGCGCGATCGATCCGCATATATGCGTCGTTGTCGATTCCATCGAACATGCCTTGTACATACTTCTCCTCACAACGAAAGGACGTCGAGACGACCTCGATGTACGCTAGCTTCGATAGAGTGACATGTGACAGGGCACTCGCCAGCCAGCGGAGGTCCCGAAGATTTGCTGTGACCGACAGAGCACGCAGGTTCGTAGCGGAAGTGAGATCTAAAAAATCTAGAACAAGATAACATCAACAGACATTATGTAGTTATACCTCCGGACGCCTGAGGAACGTACCATTAGAACCATTGAGAGAAGATCCTGGCTGAATCGTCAGGGAAGAAAGAGACGCGCCGACTGTAGTCAGCACTCTCGGACAAGCTATTCGATCATAGTCACGGAAGGTGAGATGCTTGATACAAGCCGAAATTGTGGCCGTGACGAGGAAGTCGACAACGTCACAGCTATCGAAAAGATGGACAGTCTCGAGTCTGAGGGTGCTCGGCACTTGGACTGTGCCTGGGACAACGTCGCGTTTCTCGACCTTTACAGCGTAAAAGCTCAGGGCGGAGAGGCGAGGGAGAGCGCGCACAAGCCTCCCCAGCGCAACGGGAGACGGGAATGTCACGACGTAGAGGTCGAGCGTGGTGACCGACTCGAATGCGGCATTGATGTGCATGAAGACCTGCGAATGTAGCTGCCCAGGAACCCATTTACACTGCTGAAGTCTGAGTGTCTCGACCCGGGGAAGCGCCCGTGCCATGCGCACAACGAAGGACCCAAAAGTGTCAATCTTCCCGGATGAAAAGTCCACCGTTCTGACAACACTGAGCCTGCGCCGCCCATGGTCTTCATTCAATGTTCCTATGAGGCGATACACAAGTGTTTTGTTCATTTTGTGAAGACGGATGACTTGGTTAGCGCGAAAACGACACCGCGCATGCCACGCCCTGCATACTAGTCCTAGCTCTTGTAGCCTGACTGCGCTGTAGCCCTCGTCTGCCAAAACGTCGATGATCTTCTCCCATAATTCAACTGGGAGCTGGGTAGTATGTCTGAGGTGGGGAGTCAGATATTGTGACATCACAGCCAAGATGATAGAGACGCACTCGTGCACATTCTCAGCGAGTACTATCTGCGTAACATTCAGAGACTATGTCGTCGAGCATATGCATATGACGGGCGCAGATGTGAGCATACTGACTATCTCCATTTGCGGCAATCCTTTCTGCCTCTGGTGTGTTGTAGACTGGTCCGGGCAGAAATGACAAAAATGAGAGGTGATGTTGTCCGTAGAGGGGCATGCACGGCAGAGGCTTGGTGGCATGTGGTGCGGCTAGACCTCGGATTTACGTGCCCGCCGTTCCCTTTCTCGGAAAGTGGCGCCGCAGCCTGAACGGGTTAGTCTGAATTGGCGTGTGCGGTCTAGTGAGTTTACTCTAGGTCTCCGCCTATGCCCACTCTGTGAACTGTAAGAGAATATATTGCAGGCGAGACCGCATTCCATACATGGAGAGAGTGGACCCATGCAAAGGTACTATTCACTGTATAGGGCTTTGCGAAGCGTTGCTGAGCTCTGAATAAGTTAAGGTGAAGTCGCTTGCGTGACTACTGGTGCAAATTTGTTTGAGAAAAAAAGCATCTAAATGCTACTACTTACCGCCAGATTAGTAAAAATTTTACTTCTCGTTGCTGTGAATCGATGCAGATCTATATCTCAAGTTGAACAACAGAAGGAGCCTCAGACACGAGTCCGATCAACTTCAACCCGAAGCGCCTGATCGATACACGAGAGTTTGAACAAGCATGAGTATCATCTCATGAGACACTTTCATAACGTATGAGCGAAGACATTAAAGCACTCCATCTCGGAAATTATCACGCGTCTATGATAAAGAACTCTATGATGCATCTACCAGGAGAGAGCCGAGGTAGAGCCAAGGGGTAACATATAAGGAAAGGGGATCACTGATGATCTATCCATGACAAAATATCATCGCAAGAGTATATAGGCTTGGAAAAAGTAGTCAGACAGCTGTCATGAGGCAACGGAATATGGCGAGTTCTTCCGGAGGCGTGCACCCATTCTGTAGATGAAGAACCTGTTCACAGCAGAGCCATCTCAGTTCAGTACGAGTACGCACACAACGGGCGAGCACAACTCACGGAAGAGGCATCATCAGCGTCAACAAGCCCGCCAAGAGCGCCGTCGCACCGACCGTACCCAGACGGTTATACATCTGGTTGGCGAATAACGGAAAGATTGCAGCGAACGTCAACCGCCATGCGGTGTTGCTAGCTAATGCGGACGCAGCGACTGGGCGGTATGCGATGACGAGGTAGGTGAACGTCGACGTGAACATGTAGTACGAGCCAAAACCGAACAGCACAGATGCGATAATGGGCACGATCCATGGGACGCTCCGATATGTCGTGAACGCCAGCCAGAACAGCCCGATAGGAGCAATTACACCGCCGACCTGGCCCCTGATGAGTTGCACCTCTGGCGGTGGCTTCCCATCATATTTGGCTGCTTGTTTCTGGATAAACCTAGGAGGTTGCGTCAGTGGAGAGCTCGGCGAAGGGAGGAACAGACGAACCTGTTCCAGAACGGCTGTGTCAATGTAGCAGCTGTCAAGCCAATCGCTATGCCCAAAAACGATAGGCCTGTGTCCTGCATGTTGAATCCATGTAAGCCTTGAAAAATGATCGGGTATGCTTCAAAGGTAAGGTATAATATCCCGAGGATTAGAGCACTCCTAAGTATGACCACAAGATCGGAATGAGATCGACGCCAGTCAACTATATATATAGTTTGTACTAACCATGTATCTAGTAGCAGAACCATGTGGTCAAACAGCAAAAGCTCTGAGACACGATGTAAGTTCAGCGTTCACCCTCAGTAAAGTTAGGCGTACTGAATGGTGTAGAGCAGCTTGACAATATTTTTTCAGACAATGACCATGTCTGACGATCGAGGGGAGCCCAGTATTCGCTATTACCTGTCTCTTTCCGTAATCTATGGAAGTAATATAAGTCATAGTATATCAAGCAGTGAGAAAACTGAATTAACCGTGCTGCCTTCCGCTTGAGCAAGGCTGGTTCGTATGTTTCTGGGATGACCTAGGTACAAGGAGGCTTAAGTGGAGATCATTCTCGCATAAATAGACAGACCAACCGTAAACAGCAGGATAATTATCGAGAATTGCATAATTAGCAAAAGACGATAGGTCCAGCGCCAGTCTATGTGCTAGTGGATAACTGAGTTCATGCGCACACTGTCTCGGAGTGGTCTCTATACCTGACAGATAATACTCGAGTTACGTCAGCATTAGTGAAGGGAAAGGTAAAATCTCAAAGACAAAACTCACGCCGATATCATGGGTCCCATTGCGGGTCCGAGGAAAGGCCCTAGAGCATACATTGCCATAGGGCTATAGGATAATCGGTCAGACTAAGGCAGAAATATAGGTGAAGGAGCTGACCTTGCAACCTCAGCACCAGCAAATAGGTCCCCAACGCTGCCTCCTGCGACACTCAAGAACGCAGAACTGCAAAAGCCAGAGATGAACCGAAAGACAAGGAAGGTAGCTGAATTTTTTTGACATGAAATAAGAAAGAGCATTCAGTAGACGAAATTAAATCGACGTACCCATATCAGGAGGAAATGCAGTCGGCCAAGTAAAGGCAAAGAATAGAACATATGACACCTGGTAAATGATGTTCCGACCATAGACTTCGGATAAGGGCCCAACGAGGAGAGGGCCAAGGCCTACCTTGTGTCAGAATGCGGGCTACTGACTGTTGGACAAAACGTACCCATGCCCAAGACATATAGACTGATGCTCAAAATTGACACCTCGTGGCTTGTATGCAAGTCCTCCACGAGTCCATCTTCCGTAAACGATGCCTGAATAGTCAATTGCATCAGTATGAAGGGTAGTTTTTGTCGGAATCATAAGACTCACAGCAGAAGACGCAAACGTTGAACAGAACCCAGCAAAGGTAACTAGAAAAGCGAGGAACCATCTCCAGACCACCGACCACTGAGTTGGATCCTCGGATGGGTCCAACGTTACGCGAAACGTATCGTCGCATACATCTGTCTCTTCGCCCTTGGTTTTCGAAGTGAGAGATGATGATTCAACATCGCCCTGAGACCGAGGCTCTGAGAATTTCTCGGCTTCCTCGAGGGCCTTGGGGAACGAAGAAGACATAGAGGAAAAGTTGCGGATTCATGCCTCCGAAGTAG